GATTTTACATAGTGAAACATGAAAACAGTCCATAAAATGGTTTTCCAAATGGAAATAATCTTAAAAATCCATTTACTTTCTTTTTGCACCCCCTCTTTTAATCCTCATCTAAGGTTATATTTTTATTGAATTTCAGAGAGAGAGAGAGAGGAAGTGGGGGAGAGAGAAACCTTGATGTGAGAGAGAAACATCTGTTGCTTCCTATATGTGTCCTGATCAGGGATCAAACCAGCAATCGAACCCCCAACCTTTTCGTGTACAGGACAGGATGACACTCCAACCAACTGAGCCAACAGCCAGGACAGAATATCCACTTACCGTATTTTTCGTATAAGACGACTTTTGAAACAAAAAAAAGTCAACCGAAAATCGGGGGCAAAAGACCAAAATTGCACAAAAATTACCTGCAGATCTTGACGGCAAAGTAAGTCTTTTCTTTGAAGTGGGGGGTAGTCTTATACAGCGAATATAGACCTAAACCTATGTTTTTAACTGTAAAATTAGGGGGCCGTCTTATACGTCAGAAAATACGGTACTTTATTTCAATGCATACCCCACATTTACCCCCCACAGCAAAGCACACAGTCACCTGACACATTTGACATAAACAGGAGCCCAACTACCAAATACACTCATTGGCTTCAAGTCACTGATTGTTTTGAGTCTGGCAAGCTAGAAGTTTATAGAATAACTAGTAGCATTGTGCATGAATATGTGCACCAATAGCTCGCTGCTGCCCTCCAGTAGCTCTCTGCCTGCTGCCCCACCCTTCTGTAGCTTCCCCTGCCCCTCCTAAGCTTGCTGTACTGCCTCTTCCTGCAGCTCAGCTCTCGGCTGCACACTTGTAGCTCAGTGCCCCACCCTCCTGCTGATCTGTGATCTGGTTGTTACGTGGTTGGTTGTTACACAACAAGGTGTAACGACCATTATTTGCATATTACATCTCTATTATATAGAACTAGAGGCCTGGTGCACAAAATTCGTGCATGGGGTCAGGGCGGGGGGTTATCCCTCAGCCCAGCCTGCACCCTCTCCAATCTGGAACCCCTCAAGGGACATCCAACTGCCCAGTGGGATCAGGCCTAAATGGGCAGTCAGACATCCCTCTCACAATCCAGGACTGTTGGCTCCCAACTGCTCACCTGCCTGTCTTCCCGATTGCCCCAACTGCTTCTGCCTGCCAGTCTGATCACCCCCTAACCACTCCCATGCCAGCCTGATTGTTGTCTAACTACTCCCCTGCCAGCCTGTTTGCTCCCAACTTCCCTCCTCTGCCAGCCTGGACACCCCTAACTGCCCTCCACTGCAGGGTTGATTGCCTTCAACTGCCCTCCCTTGCAGGCCTAGTCCCTCTCAACTGCCCTCTCTTGCAGGCCTGGTCCCTCCCAACTGCTTTCCCCTACTTGTCTGATCACCCACAACTGCCCTCCCTTGCTGGCCTGGTCCCTCCCAACTGCCCTTTCCTGCTGGCCATCTTGTGTCCACATGGGGGCAGAATCTTTGACCACATGGGGACAGCCATCTTGTGTGTTGGGAGTGATGGTCAATCTGCATATTACTCTTTTATTAGATAGGATAGAGGCCTGGTGCACGGGTGGGGGCCAGCCGGTTTGCCCTGATGGGTGTCCTGGATCAAGGTGGGGGTTCCCTTGGGGCATGAAGCAGCCTGAGCGAGAGGCCTGTGGTGGTTTGCAGGCCAGCCACGCCCACAGCAACCCAAGCAGAGGCCCTGGTATCTGGGATTTATTTACTTTCTACAATTGAAACTTTATAGCCTGGAGCAGAGCCAAGCCTCCTGCTCGCTCAGTGGCGGCAGCCATTTCTGTTGGATTTGTTTACTTTCTATAATTGAAACTTTGTATCCTTGAGTGGAGGCTAAGGCAGGCAAGGGCAGGCAGAAAACTTGGCTTCCTTCATTGCCAGGGAAACGCCTCCCTTTTGCTCTCTGTGGCTGTAGCCATCTTGGTTGGGTTTATTTGCATACTCTTTCTGATTGGCTGGTGGGTGTGGCTGGAGGGTATGGCATTTGGAGCAGAGTGATGGTTAATTTGCATATTACTCTTTTATTAGGTAGGCTGGCCCTTTTGGAAAAAATATTATATTACACTAGAAAAATATATATATAGACCTGGAATAACAACAGTATAAATGAGTTTTTGCTTATCACAGGCCAAGAAAACTAACATTTCTTGTAAGCTCTTTTCTAGTGCACTGAGTTGGTCATGATGTAACTTATGACATGGTTAATTCACAGAATCACAGGTTCTCACAGAATCTGGGCTGCAAGAAAATTTTTAACAATGTAATCTCATCCTAATGCCTCCTCTACTACATCCCACCCAGAGATAATGGCAGAACCACTCCCAAAAATCCTTCAGAAGCATGGGGGGAGGGAGGGTATCTCCATCAATGGGGAAGTTTTTCAATTTTTAGAACATGAAAGAGGATTCCTAAAACAACAGTCAGTCAGCTTGTTGTCAGTCCTCAAGAAGACCCTACAAAAATTTATATATAAACAAAATTGCAGAACTCAGGAAAAAAAACAGTAATTCTAGGAACAAAAATAGGTACATTATGAAAAAGTAATGCCAACTAACATTTTTCTTGATAGACCTACTTGCCTTGTAGATCAAGACAATACTGTAGTTTTAATGTACTTGACATCTAAAAATTTTCTATGAAACAATTTTAGAACAAACAAAAACAAAGATGCATCAGGGTTCCCCTAGAATAGAGGTGTCGAACTCAATCAGAGAAGGGGCCAAAATCTAAAATCCAGCCTAAATCGCGGGCCGAATGGTTTACTGAACAGTCATAAACTGTCATTGTGATGGAAACACAGCGGAGTGCAGTGATGACAGCGCGGTGCGGGCCACATTGCAAGGCCTGGCGGGACGGATTTGGCCCGCAGGCCTTGTGTTTGACACATGTGCCCTAGAATCATACCATGAGATAAAGATTCAAGTTAGGTAAGACTGTTTTGCTTTAAATCAATTCATTCATATTTTCAAATGTTTTTATTTGCAGAATGTTTCACACGTTTTCTAAAATTAATTTTTACTAAGCTTCCTGTAGGAACCCCGTCGAGAGTACACCAGATGTTCAAGGCCACTTTGAGTGTAGGTGTTCAAAGCTAACTTACTATAAGCAGGTGCAAAAGCAGGAACGCAGAAAGCTATACACTGTGCAGGCATGCCTATCTGTAGCCCAAATAACATGGTTACTATTTGGCATGAAGCCTCTTTTGTTTGAGTTTAAGCTGTATATAAGTTGCTTCTGAGCAGCCCGTACGGGGCTCATTATAGAGAAGATGAGTTACTGACCAGCAGTGTGCGGCTGCTTGGTCAGGCTACTTTGTTAGCAGTGGCTCCCATGTTTGCTACTATATTAGCAAGGGCTACTGGGTCTACAATAAAGTCTCTTCTATACCTATGACTGCTTGCTCTTATCTTCTCCATCTGATACCTGGCATCCAAGGAGGTCCAGTCCCTGGCATAGGGACTCAGACACAGCATTTCCCCTGTCACTCCATCCCACTAGGACTTCTGTCCCTGGAGCGCAGCAGTCTTTTCCAGGTGAGGGCCTCCCAGTGCTCAAAGGCTGCTTTCTCTACAAAGAATGTTCTTCAGTCTTTTCCTACTTCAATTTTCAGTAATTAAACATTAGTACCTCAGTCAGTTCTTCCTTAGTACTACCTAAATAGAATACCTACTGCCCTTACCTTTATTCTTTATCACAATATTTTATGCATTCCCTTCAAAGTATTTAAACAGTTTGTTTATTAACTGTCTGCTTCTACTACTATCCTATCTAATAAAGACAGAATATGCAAATTGACCATAACTTTGCAAAAAAGAAAAAGAAAAAAGAAGTTGGCACCCAGAGCCAATAAGGAGGGAATATGCAAATTGATGTGACAAGGTGAGAGGCAGAAGGCGGCTCTGGGCAGGAGTGAAGGCGGAAAGGTGGCTGAGGGCCGGAGTGAAGGCAGTGCCAGCAGCCAAGGGAAGGAAGGCCTATTCTTGCATGAATCTTTGTGCATCTGGCCTCTAGTAAGTCTATAAATTCCATAAGGGGCTATAATTCCTAACTCAAAGCATTATGCCTGGCAAATTCAACAAGTATTTTTTGAGGGGGTAAACAAACAAAGTACAAATTAACCAGTTAACTACATTGTCCCTGAAAATTTTAAGGTCTCAAGATCCTGAGATATCTTCATAGAATCTGAAAGAAAGCTCAGAGATCATCAAATCTAACCCAGATTTTACGGCAGTTTCAAAGGGGGATCCCCCAGAACACAAAGCTCCTCAGGGCCACAGCAAGCCCTTAAGATCATGTACCGACTCCAAAATATAAACATGATCTAATTATGTCTTAACCACCATGAAAATAATCCTGTGAGTTTTTTTTTTTTTTTTTTTTTTATTAAATATATTTTTTTGATTTTGTACAGAGAGGAAGGGATAGAGATAGAGAGTTAGAAACATCGATGAGAAAGAGTCATCGATCAGTTGCCTCCTGCACACCCCCTACTGGGGACATGCCCGCAACCAAGGTACATGCCCTTGACCGGAATCGAACCCGGGTCCCTTCAGTCCCCAAGCCGACGCTCTATCCATTGAGCTAAACCGGTCCCGGCAATCCTGTGAGTTTTAACTAAACTCATCACCAAAGCTCTACTGTCTCTTTAGTAAGTATAGAGTATGAGAAAAGATAATTTATCAATAAAGCACACAGAGTAAAAATAAAATATAAATAAGCAGCAAATGTTTAAATAACATATATCTTCCTTTAATAGATTATCATTCAATTATCTTCACAGTAGTACCTTTTAATATTTTGACAATGGAAAAATCCATTTTAATTAATTTTACAAATTTGTGCTCTATCATTCCTCTAACATCAGTCCCTGAATGAAAAACAACAGTCCTAAATCAGTCTCTGAAATGAATACAATACTTTCCAAAACAAGAACGACTTGCAGTTAAACTTCCCATTACCTCGTTATTGGTGTAATGGAGCTCCATGGGCTGTCCGAAGGCAGTTTTAGCTTTCGACCTCAGATGCTCCAGTCTAACTGGTCTGGGGAACTGAAGGATTCTGTGTGAACGGAATTTTAAAACATTTCATTTTCTTAGGAATAGCTGGCATGCCTCAACAGTTATCATTTGGGTAAATTAAAATTAAGTAAAGATATAAACACCCACTGTACCTGAGCACCACAATGGCTTGTTTTTTATCAAGTGCACTAATTCTCAACACAAAGTCCAAAAATGCTGAGTCTGTTATATTCTAATACAAATTATAAAAAGGGAATCCTTACAAAGCTCTGCAGTTTGTAATTTGCACTAAAACTGTTACATGAGTATTAAAGGGAAATGTAAAATGTTTGCTGAAGAAAATAATTAACTATGTCATATCCATATCATGAAATGGACTAAAACTGTTAAAAAGAATAAAGTCATTCTTTAGGGGTTCAAATTTTGATTTCCCGTATGCTTATGAACTCAACATTTAAATATAAATATTTTTAAAGAATTAAAAAAAGTAATTCTAGTATTTCTTCCTTTGTTACAACGGATTGACCTATGCTACTCCCGGGAACATGCACCTAAGCCTGGAACTACTCAACCAGCCTGTGAACTCTGCAAAGGAGGGACCACCTGCTCCACTGACTGTCCCCTCAGGGCCTAGCAGATAGTAAACACTCAATAAATAGTGCTCCACAAATGAAAAAAAAAACAACCCGAAATATTCATAAAAGAATTGTAAATAGAAAAAGTAGAATAGACTAGACTTATATAGTATATCTAGCATACCGCATTTTAAAAAACCATATATCTGTGTAAAACATTTTACATCTCAGGTTATATGATTTATGAGCCTTTTTAAAGTCCTTAAAATGGCCAAAACCGGTGTGGCTCAGTAGATAGAGCATTGGCCTGCGGACTGAAAGGTCCCGGGTTCGATTCCGGTCAAGAGCATGTACATTGGTTGCAGGCACATCCCCAGTAGGGGGTGTGCAAGAGGCAGCTGATGGATGTTTCTCTCTCATCGATGTTTCTAGTTCTCTATCCCTCTCTCTTCCTCTCTGTAAAAAATCAATAAAATATATGAAAAAAAACAACAACAATCTTCCTTTAAAGTCCTTAAAATGGATAGATCTTTCATTAAATTAATGAGGCACAAATAACAAACATGGAATCGATACTCTCCAACTGTAAATAGTCTTGTTAATAATTCTGAGGTTAACCATCACCACCCACCTCTACTACTGTATGGAGACACAGACCCAGAAGACTAGACTTCCCTCTCCTAAATAATTCACAGCCACCATTCCAACTCATTTCCCTCGGTGTTACTAATTAAGTACATGTTGTGGATGTTGCCCAGCCAGTGTGGCTCAGTGGTTGAGTGTCAACCTATGAACCAAAAGGTCATGGTTCAATTCCCAGTCAGGGCACATGATCGGGTTGTGGGCTTATCCCCAGTGTGAGGTGTGCAGGAGGCAGGCGATCAATGGTATTTTCTCATCACTGATGTTTCTCTCTCTCTTTCTCTCTGAAATAAATTAAAAAAAATATTTAAAAAAAAATTGTGAATGTTAAGTCCACATACATAATTCTGTAGAGTATAATATAAGGAGATTTATAAGGAGCAAATATGATTAGTAAAAATAAAAGAAAATGGCAATATTCAAAGATTGCATTATGTAATGATCTTATTTACTTCCTAATATTGCAAAGTAAAAACATTTATCTTTCTAATATTTAGCCTGAATTTTGACAGTTTCTATCTTAAGTTTAAATACATGTTACACGTTACCAAGGACTATCCCATTCTCAATTTATAAGCCAAGAGCCTTCCTTAAAATATAGAAGAACCTCCAATGGCTTTAACTAGAACACGCATTTAATTAAATTGATAATCTGAAATGTAATGTTTCTTTCCTTACCTTTTTTCTCCTCTATGTTCAAATTTGACTCGAACATCATTCTGTAAAGAAATGATAAATCATTTTCAGAAATCAAAATTTCTTTTTTCTTCTTAGTCACGCATTTAAAACAGAGCAGAGGGGTCCTAGCCCAGTGGACCCCTCTCGGCTCAGTGGATAGAGTGTCGGCCTGTCGACTAAAGGGCCACAGGTTCAATTCTGGTCAAGGACATGTACCTCGTTTGAAGGCTCAATCCCCAGGATGATGTTCCTCTTTCATAAATGTTTCTATCTCTCTATCCCACTCCCTTCCTCTACTCTCTAAAAATCAATAATAATAATGATGATAATGATGATAATTAAAAAAATCACAGAGCTGATGGGGAAGGTTTCATTTCAGTATCAACTCCAATAAATTGATAGGGTCTGCCAAAGAGCCAGATTGAGAATTATGTTGCAGAATTTGGGGTCAAGAGGAAAGATCAACAGGATCTGTTAATGATGGCATCATGGGCATGAAACATTTGCTAATCCTGTTAGAGGGAAATTTAGCATACTGTATTTCTACTTTTTAGGGCAACATCCCAAACAAATTTTATCTATAAGAATCAAAATGGTCCTGGCTGGTGTTGCTAAATGGTTAGAGCCTTGGCCCCAGCATCGAAGGGTTTCAGATTCGATTCCTAGTCAAGGGCACATAGCTGGGTTGTGGGTTCAATCCCCAACCCCTGGTCAGGGAGCATTCGAAAGGCAACCGGGGATGTGTCTTTCATCCCTCTCTCTCTCTCTTCCCTCTCTCTCTTCTTCTCCCTTTTCATTCCTCCCTCCCTCTCTTCTACTCTCTGAAAAGCAATGAAAAAAATATCCTCTGTTGAGGATTAACTAAGAATCAAAATTATCCTCATTTGTAAATATACAGGATAGGTGACTTTAAATTTAAAAAATTGCTTAAGTGCTTTAAGAATAGATGAAACAACTTCAGAGAGCATTTACCGTATTAAATGTAATTCTACCATTTTTAAAAACATACTTATAAAAAATGTTTAACAAAATATTTGATTTGAAAGTATAAAAGTTAAATACTTTAAGCAAAACCTCTATAAGATTAAGATATTCAAGAAAAAAGAATTCGTAAATTTATTAAAATATTACTGAAACAAATACCTGTTTTTTTGGTGATAAAGATTTTGTTTTTCTGGTTTCTTGTAAGGATAATGCTGGTCGACTGGCCTTATGAAGAACAGCCAAATCTTGCATGATTGAGTTCAAAGCTTGCTGATCATCTAGGTATTTTCAAAATAACACACTCAGACTTATAATTTCAATATGTATTTACTATTGACATTAAACACAAAACTTATAATAAAATTTAATGCAAAAATCTAGAACATTTTCAATGCTTATGCTTGTTATTTTGGTGAAATAAAATTTTTGTTAGAAAACTGAAGGCCATCAATGTTAAAATAGCACTGGACACAAGCACTAGCATCATACTGAGTGTTCACACAGGAGACTTTAACAGGCAAAATAAAGTCATTCTGCTTCTTCCAATGATGTACACCCTAGAATATAGGTCGGAACAGCCCTGTTATGACAAGTTCTTTTCTATGACACCTAAATAAAACAGCACATCTAAACTCTTAAAACAAGTGAGGGGGAATAACTTTCTATAAATACCATCATTACTTAGCATTTATGTTCAAGGTACAGAATTCCTTTTAGAGTTTTTCTCTTTCATCAGACTTCAAGTCAGAAACAATAAAAGCTTTGCCTACTGATTTTATGAAGTGTTTTCTTGAACTTCTCCATATGGATCAATAAGACTACAAACATTTAAAGATTCTTTAATGATCTCAGCCAGGAACAATTCAAAAGGTAACAATACAAGAAAAATCCATTCCTAAGGGAAAAAACACTAAACCTATAAAACTGAGTGAAAGAATCATAAACTATAAATTTTTAATTTTTTTCCAGACAGATCAAAGATTTATTCATATGACTATGAGCATGACCCTCCTAGTAATGCCAATTATATACTCTCTGGAAAACTTCAGGGACAACGTAATTAATTTTCACTAGTAAATCAATTCCACTAATAATAATCAACAATCGGTTAAAAAAAAAAAAAAAGGAATTCAGAGACTTTACAGCTTACATTTTAAAATGTAACCATTTTGACCCAGCCAGTGTGGCTCAGGAGGTCACAAATGAATTCCTGGTCAGGGCACATGCCTGGGTTTCGGGCTCAATCACTATTAGGGAGTGCTCAAGAGGCAGCCAATCTATAATTCTTTCTCATCATTGATGTTTCTATCTCTCCCTCCTCTCCCTTTCTTTCTGGAATCAATACAAATATATTTTTTAAAAAGTAACCATTTTGGTGAGTAATAATTTATTGATATGTTCCAAAATAGTAATAATTAAAACATGCTTTATCTTGTAATGAAAATCATTTAAATGGATGTGGCAATTCAATGGCTTTATCGTCTTTCAAACACACAAATACTTGATTTCTCCAGTGTATTAATTTTTATAACACTCAACATATTATTTTGTAGTGAAAATATTTGCACATCAAAATGAAAATAATAGCTCCAAGGTGTTATTAATAACTAGAGGCCTGATGCATGAAATTCATGCACGGGATGGGGGTGGGGGTCCCTCAGCCCAGTCTGCACCCTCTCCGATCTGGGACCTATCCGGGGATGTTCGAGCTGGACATCTCTCTCACAATCCAGGACTGCTGGCTCCCAACTGCTCACCTGTCTGCCTTCCTGATTGCCCCTAACCGCTTCTGCCTGCCAGCCTGGTCACCCCTAACTGTCCTCCCCTGCAGGGTTGATCACCTCCAACTGTCCTCCCCTGCAGACCTGGTCCCTCTCAACTGCCCTGCCCTGCTAGCCATCTTGTGGTGGCCATCTTGTGTCCACATGGGGGCAGAATCCTTGACCACATGAGGGCAGCCATCTTGTGTGTTGGAGTGATGGTCAATATGCATATTACTCTTTTATTAGATAGGATAGAGGCCTGGTACATGGGTGGGGGCCAGCTGATTTGCCCTGAAGAGTGTCCTGGATCAGGGTGGGGGTTCCCTTGGGGTGTGGGGTGACCTGGGCTAAGGGCCTGTGGTGGTTTGCAGGCCAGCCATGCCCCTGGTGATCCAAGTGGAGGCCCTGGCATTTGGAATTTATTTACCTTCTACAATTGAAACTTTGTAGCCCAGAGCGAAGCAAAGCCTCCTGCTTGCTCTGTGGCTGCCAACATTTCTGTTTGGATTTGTTTACCTTCTGTAATTGAAACTTTGTAGCCTGGAGTGTACGCTTAGGGTGGCCAGGGCTGCAGAAACTTGGCTTCCTCTAATGCCAGGGAAACCCAAGCCTCTCTCTTGGGCTCTGTGGCCGCAGCCTTCTTGGTTGCGGTTTACTTGCATACTTGCTCTGATGAGCTGGTGGCTGATGGGTGTAGCGAAGTTACGGTTAATTTGAATATTACCCTTTTATTAGGTAGGATTCCAGGTTTAGAGAAAATTTTATAAGTAACCTTCGAAAAATAAAATTTCATCCAAATGTTAGCTTAGCCCAAGAGTAACTGAGTCCATGGACATATTATAATCACAATAGGCATACTGTCCATGGGTCCAAGCCATACTATGTCATTTATTAAAAAAAAATAAATCTTGCCGAAACTGGTTTGCTCAGTGGTAGAGCATTGGTCTGCGGACTGAAAGGTCCCAGGTTTGATTCTGGTCAAGGGCATGTACATCGGTTGCGGGCACATCTCCGATAGGGGGTGTGCAAGAGGCAGCTGGCCGATGTTTCTCTCTCATCGACATTTCTAGCTCTCTATCTCTCTCCCTTCCTCCTCTCTGTAAAATATCAATAAAAAATATATATTTTTTTAAAATAAATAAATAAATAAATCTTTCCTTAGAAAAAAATTAGCTGAGAATGATCTCAACCGAAATAAAATTATATGACATAACCTTCTTGAGGTAAGATCTGTAATTCTGTACTGGGTAAGGGGAATTCTAATATTTAAACAAATCTATGTTTTAATTACTTTCTTCATTAGAAAAAACTTAAACAACTGAACTTAGGTATTTTTACATGTTTCATATCATAATACCAAAATAAACAAGTGGCTTAAATCTCTTACCACATTTAGATACACTAATTTCCTTGTTTTGTTTTTTATCATACATGTATAAAAATAAATGTAAGTAACTTCTTAGAGAGATGACTTACTAATAAAGAGTAACTTAATTGAGTTCCTGCTTTTTCTGGCTTGAAGAAGAATCACATGGTAGATACTAGTAAATACCCAATAGGCAACTTACTTTGAGGAAGCTGACAAGATGTAAGCTAACAAATCCACAAAAGATCAAGCAAAGTGTGAGCAGAAATACACCAAGAACACTTTTCTAACAATTCTTAGACTTGTTTTACTCAAGAACCTCTGTGGTGGTCATAGGTACTAGGCAGATAAACTGGTGGTAAATGTCATAAAGATCATGAGTTGATCAACAGGTAATAAGGATGCCCAGAGGGCCCCATGGTCTGACCAACAGTTACACAGATGAAGTAGTGGGTTTCTGACACATGCTGAAAGGATATTTAGCTGAGCACAAGACTGGAATATATTTGGAAAATCATTTCAAGTAAAATACTTTATTAGACATGTTTAATTAGATCTCTCATATGCTTATTCATTATACTTAAAATAATTATAGGAGAATATCCTCAATAAAAAATTCAAAAATCTTTGAATCATGCTTTAAAATATTCATGTTTTTCTATGATTACTTTGGTATATGTTCTTAAGCAATGGCTGTTCTTTATTTTGTTGTTTTATATAGTACAGTATTATTTGAGAAGGTAGAAATCAATTTGGTTAACACACAGCCCAGATTGCAAGTATGAGCAACCAAAATGAAAAGTTAATAGGAGTTCAGTAAAAGGATATTCAATTTAAAGCTGACAAAACTGAAGAATTTGGACCACGTGATGGCATTGCACTCATGGTTACAAAGAGAAACCTCCATGTTGCTTGCCATAGTGATTTCAAGTTTATCATGCATGCAGAAAAAAATTCTCCCCTATTTTAGCTTTCAATTATAGACAAAAAAAGAAAAAAGAAAAAAAAAAGAAAAAAAAAATCTTTTAGTTTGAACTTACCCATCATGGCAACCAGCTCAACAATCTGAAAATTAGGGACACGGCTCTCCCATCAGCATTCTTTATTGCTTTAGGGGGTAAAAACAAACATTAATAATAAGAAACAGAAGAGGCAGACACACATACACAAAAATATCAGTATAAAAACCACTAACAAGAAACATACAATATTAACACTTTATACATTTAGGTCCTTTATTTTTCCCAGATACTCAATTAGTGAGAATGAACAAAAATATGATTATTTTTTTAAAATTAACTCAGTGTTTTTCAGACTCCTAGCTTTCTAAGCTAAAAACCAAAACCAGAATTTTTTAGAGTCAAAAATTATCTTAAAGAGATTATCTAATAAACTCAGATTCCTACAGGGCAATGGCAGGTATGAAGATGAGTAAGAAGGGTCATGCTAGAGACAAAAGAGAACCAAAGTGAGGCCATCAACAAACACAGTAAAGACCTACAGAAATTCTCTCTTGCATAAAAGAAAACATTGTCAAGATCAACTTTTTCAGAACTCTGAAATTAACCAAAGGCTTGAAGCAATCTAGAAGGCATTTAAGTATCTCAATAAAAAGAGAGAGACCGAGCTGGCTGGGTAGCTCAGCATGCTGGAGCATCGTTCCAATGCACCAAGGTTGAGGGTTTGGTCCCTGGTCAGGACACATACTAGAAACAACCAGTGAATACATAAATAAGTGGAACAACAAATCAATGTCTCTCGTTCTCTCTTTCTCTGAGCACAGGAGCCTGTGTGCGAGAGACCACCTGTGTTCTGACCTCTCTCTTCCCAGGCCACAGAAGCAAGGTAAACCAACAGCCCACGGCAGCGGTAAGCCACAGGAGAGGACAGACTGGGCTGGGATGCTTTCAAAGTCCGTTCTCCCACAACTGTCATCGTTGACTTCTAGTGGTTGGATGGTGAGCACCACTTGAAAGGCTGTCCTTGTTTAACCTGACTCAGAGAGCTTCCAATGCAAAAGCTTAGGTGCTTGTTAAAATCAATTAGGTAATTAATGCATTATTTTAACTGTCTGAGAAAGGGGAAAACAGTTGTGGGCAAACCAAAAGATAAGAAAAAAAAGTTCTTTAAAAGAAAAGCGGAGGAACAAATTGTCCATTTCAGAAAGCTTTGAGAAGCTCCAACAGGTTCCTAAGAGTCTAGAAGTCACACCAACGCCCAAGGCTGCTGCGTGCTGAAGAAAGGCCTCTGACCAAAGTGGACTTGTAGAGAATGCTGAAGGCCAGCTTCAATACACACAACAGAGAGCTTCTCAGAAAGGCTGGAAAACTTACTGGTTCCAGGCTTCTAAGGAACTAACTGAGCAGTCTTCAGTCACCACACGCAACAAAGAATATGGACTTTAAAAAATTAGTTCTTGCCCAGCGGTGTGGCTCAGTGTTTGAGTGTCAACGTATGAACCAGGAGGTCGTGGTTCACTTCCTAGTCAGGGACAGGCCCAGGTTGTGCGCTCGATCCCCAGTAGGGGGTGTGCAGGAGGCAACCGATCAATAATTCTCTCTCATCTTTGATGTTTCTATCTTTCTCTTCCTCTCCCTTCCTCTCTGAAATCAATACAAGTATTTTTGTAAAAATTAGTTCCTAAAAGTTACTAAATGCATAAATAAAAATAAGCAAACAAAAAAACTGAGAGGAAAGAGGATCTGATTTCCAGAGGTGGTACACTACAATATTTTAAATAATCAGTGTTCATGAAAAAGTCATGAGACATATAAGGACAGCATGGTTCCGTATACAGGAAAAAAAGAAATCAACAGAAAATGACCCTTAGGAAACCTAAGTTAGAGTCAGACTAACAAAGACATTAAATCATCTATTTTAAATATGTTCAAAGAACTAAGGAAGCCATTTCTAAGGAGCTAAGAATGTCTGAGATTGATTTCTCATCAAACAGAATATCAACAAAGAAACAAAAATTATACAAGAGGAACCAGACCAAAATTTTGAAGTTGGAAAGTACAATAACTGAAACCATCAAGCATGCCAACAAATTGCATAATAGGAATCCCAGAAAGAGAGGAGAAAAAGAAGGGGGCAGATATAATATCTTAAGAAATAATAGCGAAAACCCCCATATTTGATGAAAAGCAATGTGTATAACCCCAAAACTCAACAAATTCCAAGTAGGGGGAAAAAATCAAAGTGATTCACACCTAGAAATGTCATAATCAAACTGTTGAAAGACAAAGAATCTTAAGAGCAGCAACAGAGAAGAAACGCAGCATATACAAGAGATACTCAACTGATTTCTCACTGGTAACCTTGGAGACCAGAAGGCAAGAGAATGACATTTGAAGTGCTAAAGAAAAAGACTGTGAAACAAGAATTCTATATACTGCAAAACCACCCTGCAAAACTGAAGCCAATATGAAGACATTCCAAGATAAACAAGCACAGAGAATTCATTACAACCAGACTTCCCTTACAAGAAATATAAAGAAGTCCTTCAGATTGTAATGAAGGACACTAGGCAGCTAATCCAATCCACAGGCAAAAAGAACACCAGTAAGGATAATTATATAAATAAAGATAAAAGGCAAAATCAGCATACCTTTGTTTCTAACTCTTCATTTCTCCGGACTGTGGTAAGTACAAAACTGATCCACCCCAAAGATTTCCAAGCATTAATTCCTAGAATCTTTGCATATAATCACTTTACATGACAAAAGGGACTTTTAAGACATAATAAATTAAGAAACTTTAATGGGAAGATTACCCTGGATTATGGGCTGGACTCCACTCAGTCACAGTGGTCCCTATGTAAGGACAGAACAAGCGAGGACGAAGTGTCAGGGACGCTGCACCAGAAAGGCATGTTAGCTTTGCACATGGAAGGGGGTAGCAATTCCACGGAGTGTATGGATGCAGGAAGCTTCTAGAAAGTGGAAAAGGCAAGAAAATGGATTCTCCTCTAGAACCTTCAGAAGGAACACAGCAATGCTGACATTTTGATTTTAGCCCAGAGAAACTAATTTCAGATTTCTTACTTCCAACACTGTAAGATAATAAACTGAAGTTGTTTTAAGCCACCAAATTTGTGGGATTCTGCTATAGCAGTATGTAGGAACTATTTAAGACCACCCCCGTTTCCTACCATCAACAAATCAACAAATGATAAGTGCTGGAGAGGATGTGGAGGAAAGGGAACCCTCGTGCACTGCCGGTAGGAATGCAGACTGGTGCAGCCACTATGGAAAACAGTATGGAGTTTCCTCAAAAAATTAAATATGGAACTGCTAGTGATCCCACTTCTCAGAATATATCATTAAGAAACCCAAAGCACCAATCAGAAAGAATGTATGCAGCCCTATGTTCATAGCAGCACAACTTAAAATAGCTAAGATCTGGAAACAGCCAAGTGCCCATCAGTAGAAGAGTGAACAAAGAAGCTGTGGTACATTCACACCACGAAATACTATGCAGCAGTAAAAAAGAAGGATCGCTTACCCTGTGAGACAGCATGGAGTGACCCTAAAGAATATCATGCTGAGTGAAGTCAGTCAGTCAGAGAAAGACAAGTATCACATGATCTCACTCATATGTGGAATCTAAGTAACAAAATAAACTGATGAACGGAGTGGATCCAGGGACATGGAAGCATGGAACAGAGTGCGGAATATCAGAGAGAAGGAGGGGGAGGGAGGTTGGATGGAGGGCAATCAACCAAAGACCTTGTATGCATATATGTATAACCCATGGACACAGACAGTGGAGCGGTGAGGGCCTGTGGTGGTTTCTAACTCTCTATCCCTCTCTCTTCCTCTCAGTAAAAAATCACTAAAATATAAGGAAGAGAGAGGGATAGAGAGTTAGAAACATTGACGAGAGAGAGACATTGATCAGCTGCCTCCTGCACGCCCCCCACTGGGGATGTGCCCGCAACCAAGGGACATGCCCTTGACCGGAATCGAACCCGGGACCTTTCAGTTTGCAGGCTGACACTCTATCCACTGAGCCAAACAGGTTTTGGCAACAATAAAGATTTTTTTAAAAGGCCACCCCAGTTTCAATAAATTGCTGGAGGGATTCACAGGATTCAACAATGTTAGAGGCTGACCACACAGACACATGATCTACCTAGTACATACCAAAATTTCAGATTCCCAGAATAAAAGCAGGTGTTCAGCATAAACTATATTGTTTGTAAGAAACTTGGGCCTAGTATGCCATTCTTACTAGTTTAGGCAGGTGGGAACCCTTCGGAAATCCAAGTTCTCAGCTGTCAGCCATGGGTTGGCATAAGCAGTTCTTTCTAACGACAAGCAGTGAACCCTGCTATGTAACTCCTTCCTACACCAGCAGCAACAGGAAACTAATACATACACGAGTTTAAAGAAATGGCATAAAGCAATCATTGTAAGTGTGCTGTTCGATATACAATATATAAAGATGGAATTTGTACAACAGCAACACAAAGAAAAGAGAAAAGATCAAGTTTTCTTAAAGAAATATATTTGGATCCCATTGCAATTAAGTTTATATTAACTCAAACTACACTGTTTTAATAGAGATGTTAATTTTAATTCCAAGGTTCAACCATTAAAGAACAAATTTAAAAAATAGTAAAGAAACAAGAGAATTAAAATAGCACACTAAAAATATCTAACCCAGGAGGCGTGGCTCAGTGGTTGGGCATTGACCAGGAGATCACCATCCCATTCTAAATCGGAGCACATGATTCCAGTCAGGGCACAAGCTGAGTTGTGGGCTCAAATCCCAGTAGGGGATGTGCAGGAGGCAGCCAATCAATGATTCTCTCTCATAATTGATGTTTCTATCATTCTCTTCCTCTCTGAAATCAATAAAAATATATTTTAAAAGATCTAACACAAAAGAAGATAGCAATAAAGAAACAAGGAACAAAAAGAGACATGATACACATAAAACACAAATATAAAATGGCAGATGTAATCCTACCTTATGTGTAATTGCATTGAATATACATGAATGAACAAACCAGTTAAAAGGCAGACATGAGCAGAACAGATTTTTAAAAAGTAAGGTCCAACTATATGCTCTATATCACATAAATACTTTAGATTCAAAGGCAAAATAGGTTAAAAGAAAAAGGAAAAAAAAGGAAAGATATACCATGCAAATAGTACCAAAAGATATCTGAGTGGGTATACTAAGAGCAGACAACATAGGATACAGTGTATATAGCTGGGTGGCTCAGCTGGTTGGAGTACTGTCCTGTACACTAAGAGGTTGCGGGTTCGATCTCTGGATTGGGGCAAGTACAGGAGGCAACAGATTGATGTTTCCCTCTCACATTGATACCCCCCTCCCTCTCTTCCAATCAATCAATCAATCAATCAATATATCCTTGAGTGAGGATTTAAAATAAAAAAGAATATAGTATAAAAATTATTTTGAGCCCTAGCTCGTTTGGCTCAGTGGATAGAGCGTCGACAAACAGAATGAAGGGCCTGGGTTCGATTTCAGTCAAGGGCACATGCCTGGGCTGTGGGCTCAATCCAGTATTTAGGAGGGGGGAAAAGTTGGAAGATTCACACTTCCTAATTTCAAAACTTAAAGCCATAGCAATCAAAACAGTGTGGGTACTGACAGAAAGATAGAGACCAGTGAAACAGGCTTGAGAGTCCAAAACTAAACCCCAACATCTATGGTCAAATGATTTTTCATAAGGATGCCAAGACAATGGAGAAATAAGTCTTCAATGGTGCTGGACAAGTAGATATTCACATACCAAAACATTTAGTTGGACCTGGACCTCACACAATATGTGAAAATTAATTCAAAATGGATCAAAGACCTAAATAGAAATGCTAAATTAAAAAAACTCTTATAAGGGAACAGAGGTGTAACTCTTCATGACCTTGGATTAGGCAATAATTTCTTTTTGTTTACAGCAGTTTTATTCATAATTGCAAAAATTTGGAAGCAACCAAGATGACCTTCAATGTGAGAATGGACGAACAAATATGGCACACCCAGACATTGACTATTTAGTGCCAAAAAGGAGTGGGCCATCAGGCTGTGAGAAGACATGGAGAAACCTTACATGCTCCCTGCTGTGACAGAAGTGACTGTGAAATGGCTACGATATGATTCCACTCTATTACATTTTGGAAAAGGCAAAGCTATGAATATAGGCAATAATTTCTTAAAAGTAACATCAAAAGCACAGCCAACTTTTCTGCCACCTGAGCCAGCCCTTATAAAGGAGTTCCTGGAATTGTATTTCAACCAATAGGACTGAGGCTTTCCTCATCCAATTAGAGCTGCTCATCAACATTCCCACAGCATCAGCATCTCCACTGACTAATTGGAGCAGCTCCACTCTGACTAATTAGGACAGTTCTATTTGGACCAGTAAACTATGGGGATTTGGTGAGGATCTAGTGCTGTGACCTGCAAGAGGGACCAGGAGCGGGGACTTCTGTCTATTAAGTCAGCTCCCCCGGCTCTAGGAGTGCACTTTCCTTTTTCCAGACTACTAAAGATTGCTTCCCAGGCTGGAGACAGAACAGAAGCGCCAAAGACATCTCTCCAGAGCACTGAGAAGCAGACCTGAGCAGGACAGAACAGACTAGAGCTGTCTACCCACAGAGGGCCTAGCCACAGAGGCTGCATCACAACCCTGCTGTTCCACAGCAATGCTGACTCCTAACTGAACTGTCGCACAACTGGACTCTTCTCATGGCTGCTCTGTATCACAATTGAATTGTTCGTAATGAATAAACTCTCCTTCATCACCACACCCCAAATTAAGGATTTCTGTTAGCACTGAATTGGCCCCAATGATCATCAGTTGACACACAAATGAAAAAAATAAACCAGACTTCATCACAATTAAACAAAAAGAGTAAAAAGACGACCTACAGAATGAGAAAAGTATTTGCAAATCATACATCTGACAAGGGTCTAGTATATAGAATACACAAAGAACTATTACTACTCAACAATATAACAATGTCAATTACAAAATGGGCAAAGCTTTCAATAGACATTGCTCCAAAGAAGATATACAAATGGCCAGTGCAGCTGAGTTTTTAAAAGGACAGCATCTGGGGAGCAAAGAAAAGGACAATGATATAAAAAGGGGGACATGATAGGTGGGGAGGAGGGGTTGACAATTGCTAGAAACGGGTGGGCAAGGTTTTGGAAAGTATCCATTCTTTGGTTTGGAAGCATTGCTTTATTTGAGCAAAGACTCAGCACAGGGCCGCCGTTAGGGACTTCAGGGAGAATCCAGGCTAAGGGTCAGGCAAGCCTTCTGTGCTGCAGGGAGCTCCCAGTTCTCTGTAACCTGTCCAAGCAAGGCCGGCAACTAGCGAAGTCGGGAAGCGCAAGGCGTGGTGGAGTTAGAAGCCCAGTCCTGCGCTGCCTCTGCAGATGGTTTCTACTGTCCGCCCTCCCTCGTTCCAGAGCTTACACTCGGTCTTCCCTACCTGTCCAGGTCAGCTCAATCTGTAGTTCCCATCCTTCAGGGTCAGAAATCTGACCTAACAACAAGGTTCCACAGCTTTGGCCTTCTTTTCTGTGATCTCAGCTCTGCCAGGTCAGAAATGCTCTTGGTTCTGTAATAAAAATATAAAATAAAAATGGCCAATTAGCACTTGATAAGGTGCTTAATTCCATCAGTCATTAGGGGAATGCAAATTAAAACACAATAATATACCACTTCACAAACACTAGGATGGCTATAATCAAAATGACAGTGAGAAATGCTGGTGAAAATGTGGAGAAACTGGTAGCACCTGAATCAATATTTCCACTGCTAGGTAAATACCAAAGAGAACTGAAACTATATAACACACATGAAAATGTGTGCACTAACATTGGATGTGGCATGGTTTATAAGAGCTAAAAAGTAAAAATTCGCCTTAGCCAGTTTGCCTCAATAGATAGAGCTTCAGTCCATAGTTTGAAGGGTAACGGGTTCGATTCCAGTCAAGGACACATACTTTGGTTACAGGCTTGATCTCTGGCCTCGGTTGTGGTGCATGGGGGAGGTAACCAATCAATGTATTGCTCTCTCATCAGTGTTTCTCTCTCTCTTTTCCCCTCCCTTCCACTCTCCTTAAAAATCAATGAAAAATATCCTCTGGTGAGGATTAACAACAACAAAAGTAAAAACTTCAACATTACAACTGCTTAAATTTCTTTTTAGTTGTAAAATTATTTTGAAACTAGAGGCCCAGTGTACGGATTTGTGCACTGATGGGGTCCCTCGGCCTGGTCAGTGGGAATCAGGTCAAAACCAGTTCTCTGACATCCTCCAAGTGATCCCAGATTGTGAGAGGCCAGGCTGAGGGACCCCACTGGTACATGATCTGGGCCAGGGAGGGACCTGGAGAGGGCTCCAGGGTGTGTCTGGCCCACATCGCCCAGTCCCCATCGGCCAGACCCCAGCAGCAAGCTAACCTACGGGTAGAGCGTCTGCCCAATGGTGGTCAGTGCATATCACAGCAACTGGTCTAATAAGCCGTCAGACACTTAGCATATTAGGCTTTTATTATATAGGGTGTCAAATAATATTAAAGAGCCCTAGCTGATTTGGCATAGTGGACAGAGCATAGGCCTGCAGACTGAAGGATCCCAGGTTTGATTCTGGTCAAGGGCACATGCCTGGATTGTGGGCTCAATTCCCAGTAGGGGACGTGCAGGAGGCAGCTGATCATTGATTCTCTCTCATCATTGATGCTTCTCTCTCTCACTCTTCCTCTCTGAAATCAATAATATATTTTTTTAAATTGGCAAAACATGAAAAAGTTACAACACTAAGTGTTTAACAAATCAATAGGGGGAAAAACTAAGCAAAGGTAAATCATATCTGTACCTAAAAGGTCTTATCCACACACTATTTTAACTTTTTTGTCAACTGTCTGTGGGTAAAACTAGTAATGGCTACACATGTATATCATACTTTAAAACTCACTACCAGTACCTATTCAATTATTGTCAGCATTCCACTCATCTGAGAGCACAGAATCAACATCATACTTTGTTACTTCCTTTATCCCTATGGGTGTAAGATTAGATAGCTTAAGATTTTTCTTGTTTCTTGAAGTAGGCTTCTATTGCTATGAATTTCTCTCCCAGGACTACTTTAGCTGTATCTCATAGATTTTGGGTCATTGTGTTCTCATTTTCATTTGTATTGAAGTATCCTTTGATTTCTTCCTTGATCACACTGTCAACTCATTCATTGTTTACTAGCCTATTATTTTCCCTCCATGTATTTGTGCATTTTCCCATTGTTTTTTGTTATAGTGGTGATAGCTGTATCAGGGGTCCTCAAACTTTTTAAAGTGGGGGCCAGATCACGGTCCCTCAGAGAGCTGGAGGGCCGGACTATATGAACTACTAATTCCTACTGTAACACCTCGGCTGCGCTCACTGTCCAAAAAACCTGGCGGGCCGGATAAGACTCCTCTGCGGGCCGCATGTGGCCCGCGGGCCGTAGTCTGAAGACGCCTGCTAATTGATTTCTAATTTTATACCATTGTGGTCAGAGAATATGTTAGATATGATTTCAATCTTCTGAAATTTATTGAGACTTGTCTTGTAGCCTATTATAGTCAATCCTGAAAAATGTTCCATGTGCCCTTGGGAAAAAATGTCTTTTGCTGCTTTGGGGTAAAAAGTTCTAAACACTTTAATTAAATCCATCTGCTCTAATGTGTAATGTAAAGCCACTATTTCCTTGCTAATTTTCTACCTGAAAAAAAAGCTACCCATTGATGCCAATGCAGTGTTAAAGTAAAGAAAGTAGAAGAAGGTAATGGGAGGTTAAATGGTGATGAAAGGAAACTTGGTTGGAAAATTCAAGGAATAATTAGGGGTGCTGCCTTCAACACTTCCCGAAGTCAGAATTCCTATAAACAGAGCAGGCGGCCTTCTACACACTTGCCTTTTCTCAGAACGTCCTCCTTACAAACTTTCCAACCAAGTCTGGTGTTCTTCCCAAAATCAGCCTAGTGCCTGTGCAACTTTGCAATGGGGAGGGCTCTCAGGGAGTCATCAGGGTAAAGTTGTTAGAGTCCACCAAGATAATGCAGGTTCAGATTTGGTCTCTTTGTGGGAGAGCTCAACACAGGGAATATGGCAGTATTCTTTATCTGGTAGATCCATCTACCCCTTGCCCTGAAGCCAGACATTTCAGTTTCTCCCTATATGTCTCTGGCACTCCTGCCCCACCTGAGCTTGACAAAATCCTTCGAGAGTTTTTAAAGAAAGACTGTAACATGGGGCAAGGCTGGCTGACGCCAAAAGGGCTTCAGGCTGCATTGGGTAGGGCTGGCTATGAGGGAGTCACCAGAGTGGAGCTAGTAGAGGTCACTTGGCTAATGCAGATCCAGATTTGGCTGTGTGTGAGGGAGGCTCAACACAAAAAAGATGGTACCTGTCAGCAATGCAGGAAGAAGGCCAATGCTGGCCATCCCTCCAGCCCTTGCTCTGAAGCCACACAGAGCAATTTCTCCCTGTACGTCTCTGGTGACCCCAAATCTCTGTCATCTACTGGAATCCAAGGTGACTGCCTGCAAGTGAGAGTTTATATGCTGGTTCTTTAAAAGGACACCTGGGCCTGGCCAAGGTAACTGCCTGCAAGTGAGAGTTTATATGCTGGTTCTTTAAAAGGACACCTGGACCTGGCTGGTATGGCTCAGTGGTTGAGCACTGAACTATGAACCAGGAGGTCAAGGTTCGATTCCTGGTCAGGGCATATGCCCAGGTTGCAGGCTCAGTCCCCAGTGTGGGGAGGCAGACGATCAGTAAGTCTCATCATTGATATTTCTATGGCCATTCACAGTTTCTCCCTCTTTCCCTTCCTCTTTGAAATCAATTTAATTTTATTTTTTAAAGGACACCTGGGTTTCCAGCAGTTTTTAGTCCTACTGGGACAAAAAGAATCCCCACTAGTTTTCATAGCTAGATGTCATGTGGGCTCCTCTTCCCAGCACTGGTGTTCTGAGCTGGAGGGCACAGCATGGGGCTAAGACACTCTCACTCCTTAGGTCAGTGGTCAGCAAACTCATTAGTCAACAGAGCCAAATATTAACAGTAAAGTGATTGAAATTTCATTTTAAAGAAATTTTGAGAGCCAATTTCTTTAAACTTAAACTTCTTCTAACGCCACTTCTTCAAAATAGATTCGCCCAGGCCATGGTATTTTGTGAAAGAGCCAAACTCAAGGGGCCAAAGAGCTGCATGTGGCAGTTTGCCGACCACAGACCTAGAGTGCTCAGCAAGGGGAAGCTGAGCAACTGGAACCTAAAAGAGACTTACAACACAAGACCACTCCACCAATTCCAGGAGCTATAGCAGCTCTACCTAATCCACAGAACAACCAAAGGAAAGCAGCCAAAATGCAGGCACAAAGGAACATGTCACAAATGAAAGAATAGAAAAAATCTCCAGAAAAATAACTAAATGAAATGGAAGCAAGCAAACTACCAGATACAGACTTCAAAACAATGGTTACAAGGATGTTCAAGGAACTTAATGAGATATTCAAGGAACTTAGTGACAACTTCAAGAAACTTAGAACATCTTATCTAATAAAATAGTAATATGCAAATTAACAATCACTCTGCTACACCCACAGGCCACACCCAAATATGCAAATAAACCCAATAAAGATGGCTACCAGAGAGCAGGAGGGAGGCTTGGGTTTCCCAAGCTTTCCACCTGCCCTTGCCAGCCTAGGCCTCTACTCAAGGCTATAAAGCTTTAATGACAGAAAATACATAAACCCAAACAGCTGAAAAGAGCTGATGTTCAGTTTAGGCTAAGGTTTCCCCCGGCGATGGAGGAAGCCAAGCTTTCCACATACCCTGGCCGACCCAGGCCTCCCAACAGAAATGGCTGCTGCATGGAGCAAGCAGAAGGCTTGGTTCTATTCCAGGCTATAAAGTTTCAATTGTAGAACATAAATAAATCACATATACCAGGCCTCTGCTTGGGTCACCGGGGGGCATAGCCAACCTGCAAACCACCATATGCTCCTCGCTTAGGCCGCCCAATGCCCCAAGGGAACCCCCACCCTAATCTGGAACATCCTTCAGGGCAAACCAGCCGGCCCCCACCCACGCACCCGGCCTACCAATTAAAAGAGTAATACGTAGATTGACCATCACTCCAACACACAAGGTGGCTGCCCCCTATGGTCAAAGATCCTGCCCCATATGGACACAGATGGACACCACAAGATGGCCAGCAGGGGAGGGCAGTTGGGAGGGACCCAGGCCTGCAGGGGAGGACAGTTAGAGGCAAACAGGCAGGCAGGGGAGCAGTTAGACATCAATCAGGCTGGCACGGGAGTGGTTAGGGGGTGATCAGACTAGCAAGCAGAAGCAGTTAGGGGCAATCGGGAAGGCAGACATGCGAGCAGTTGGGAGCCAACAGTCCTGGATTGTGAGAGGGTTGTCTGATTGCCCTCAAGGGGTCCCAGATTGGAGAGGGGGCAAGATGGGCTGAGGGACACCTACCCCCGTGCACAAATTTTGTGCACCAGGCCTCTAGTCAATGACATAAAAAAAAAAAGACAGAAATGAAGCATACATTAATTTATTTTATTATTTTTTAAAATATATTTTATTGATTTTTTACAGAGAGGAAGGGAGAGAGACAGAGAGCTAGAAATGTCTGAGAGAGAAACATCGACCAGCTGCCTGCCGCACACCCGCTACCAGGGGTGTGCCCGCAACCAATGTACATGCCCTTGAATGGAATCGAACCTGGGACCCTTCAGTCTGCAGACCGACGCCCTACCACTGAGCCAAACTGGTTTTGGCGAAGCATACATTAATTTAAATGAAGAACAATTTATAGGAAATCAACACTAGAGTAGAGGACATAGAGAATCAAATCAGTCATTTCAAATATGAGGAAACAAAAAACACCCTATCAGAACAGCAAAAATAAAAAATCATTTAAAAAAAATATGAATATAGCCCTAGCTAATTTGGCGCAGTGGATAGAGCATAGCCTGCAGACTGAAGGGTCCTGAGTTCGATTCTGGTCAAGATCACATGCTCGCGTTGCAGGCTTGATCCCCAGTGTGGAACGTGCAGGAGGCAGACAATCAATGATTCTCTTTCATCATTGATGTTCCTATCTCTCTCTACCTCTCCCTTCCTCTCTGAAATCAATTTAAAAATATTTTAAAAATGAACATAGTGTAAGGAGCTTCTGGGAGTATTTCAAATGTACCAACATTTGCATCATAGAAGAAGAGAGGGAACAATAAACTGAAAACCTATTTGAAAAAATAATGACAGTAAACTTTTCTACCTGGTGAAACAAATAGACTTACAAATCCAGGAAGCACAGAGACTCAAACAAGAGAACCTAAAGAGGCCCACACCAAGACATATCACACTTAAATTGCCAAAGGTTAAAGACAAAGAGAGAATCTTAAAAGCAACAAGAGAAAAGCAGTTAGCTGACTACAGGGAGTGCCCTTACGACTGTCAGCCGATTTTTCAACAGAAACTTTGCAGGCCAGAAGGGAGTGGTAAGAAATATTCAAAGTGATGAATAGCAAGAACCTACAACCAAGATTACTCTACCCAACAAAGCTATCATTTAGAATTGAGAATCAGATAAAGAGCTTCACAGATGAGAAAAAATCTAAAGGAGTTCATCACCACCAAATCTGTATGACATGAAGTGTCAAAAGTTCTTTTTTAAGAAGATAAAAATATGAACAATAAAATGGCAATAAATACATGTCTATCAACAACTGAATCTAAAAATCAAAATAAACAAACAAGGAATCTAAAGAACAAAATAAACTGATTAATGAAATAGAACCAGAGACATGGAAACATGGACCAGACTGATGGGTCTCACAGGGAAGAGGGGGAGGAAGAATGGGGAAAGATTATCCAAAGATCTTACATGCATACTATAGGTCCAACGCATGAAGCTTGTGCAAGGGGCTGGGTCCTCGCAGTCCCGTACACCTCGGCCGGCCTGTGCAGCCCCAGCTTCATCCGGAAGGTCGTCCGGATGATTGTCTGCTGTTCAGTCTACTTAGCATGCTAGCTCTTTATTATACAGGAAGGATAGGCATTACCTATGGGGCAGGGCAGGAACCAGGTGGGGAGGGACAATGGGAGAACACGGGGGACATCTGTAATACTCTCAACAATAAAAAAAGGAAAAGAACCACTTAAAGTAAACTAGGGATTGCCCAGAGCTGAGAAGACAGGAGGATAGGAGGTGGGTGGAGGGAGAGATGGGAGAATTTGGGGCTAATAGCAGAGTTCAAGGCATGTTTTTATATAATGAAAATGTTCTAAAATTGACTGCAATGATGGTTGTGTAACTCTAGAAATATTACTAAAAACTACCGGAATTATACTAGTACACTGCAACTGGTAAAGTATCCTAATAATAAAAGGCCAAGAGGTATCATGTCCGAAATGACCAAACGAACGGTCACCAACCTGGATCGGGGACATGGCCAGTGCCCAGAGGGGACCCTCCCTGACTGGAGGCGTGGCCAGCCTTCCAGCCATGAGTGGCCCCGAGCCCAGGCTGGCCCAGCGCCCCAGAGGGGGACCCCTGCCGTGACTGGGGGCATGGCTGTCCTCCAAATCACCGGCAGCCCCTCGCAGGGGAGGTCTCCTAGCCGAAGACGCCTGAGTCTGTTCTGGACCTAGGGCCGCACTCTCCCCACAGGCGACTTGGAAGGCACCAGTGTCTAACTGCCAGTTTCCAGGAGGCTGAAGTGCATCCACCATCCACCAAAAAGTAGGACCATCTAACCATTCAGTGTCAGTGCAGGCGCAGGTCCCTGGCTGGGGGTGGAGGCCGGACCAAAACGAAGCAGCAGAGACACCCTGCCCCCCGGGCGGTGCCGCTGCAGCCCACGGGGCTGGGCAGTGTAGAAAGCGCTACCTTCTCCCGGTCCTGTGCCGGCACCACTGGCTCACCCTCCGCCCCGGGTCCTGACAGCGCAGTGTGCAGGGCGTCCTGCAGGAGCTGTGCCGTTCTGGGTGCTTTTGCCCAAAGACACCCTTTGGGATGAATTCAGAGCCACATCTCACTTCCCACGAGGCTGGAAGAACCATGTAAAAGGAATTCCACACAAGCTTTCCACATCTCTGCTTCTTCGGAATCCATAAAATTACCTTAGAAAGCATTCGGCCACCGCAGAGAGAACGCACTTTCTGCCGGAGCACGCAGGGTTCTTTTGCCCGGCAGTTAAAGGAAGCGGAGAGCTGGCAGTGCAAATGGCCCTGGTGCCCTGGGAGGAGACCGGGGAATGGGGCTGCAGAAATTCCACAAGCCTCTTGCCACCTTCTCCTTCACAAACCACACCATCCAGATCCACCAGGACTGGAGGCAACTGGGAGTCACAGCCGTGATTGGGACACAATAAGCAAATCCTGGGGGGCCTCTGAAAACACCTGCAATGGATTATAAGACTGGTCTTTATTTAAAAAGAAATACAAGAACAGCTTTGTTGAGATCTAATTCATATACTGTACATCTCCCCTGAAGTGTTCAATGAACTGGCTTTTTAAACTAAATTCAGAGTGGTACAACCATCACCATGCTCAAATTTTAAATATCTTCACTACCTCATCCGCTCCAAAGAAAACTTCTACCTAATAGAATCACTCTCCTGATCATCTTCCCAAAACTAGAGTGCATTTTAACGATGGGTAAAGGGAAGTTGAGGGAAGTTAAAATACTGCACAAAGGATATTATAAAATGACAAAACCCAAAGTGAAGATCATGTGTTTTCTTTTTAGAAAAATTTTTAATTGATTTCAGAGAGAAAAAGAGGGGGAGATAGAAACAACAATGATAAGAGTCACTGCTCAGCTGCCTCCCGCAGGCCCCCTACTGGGGATTGAGCCCAGCAACCCAGGCACGTGTCCCTGGCCAGAATCAAACCTGGGCCCTTCAGTCCACAGGCCGATGCTCTCTCCATTAAGCCAAACCAGCCTTTTCTTTAAGTTCTGCATGGTCCCCAAACCTATGCTAATAAAAGGGTAATATGCTACAATAATTAGAGTGGATGTCTTCTGGACATCCTTCCAGACAAAGCTGCAGCGGCTCAGGCAGCCATGGGCAGCTGCAAAGGGCAGTGGCAGCAGCAGGTGGGGTAATGGAGGTGGTGCCTTCCCCTTACCCACCAGGTCACCTCCTGCAGGAGGCCAGATTGGGGGCCAAGGCAGAGGTGATCAGGGGTGATCAGGCCAGCAGGGGAACAAGTTAGGGTCTATCAGGCCGATGGGGGGGGGGGGTGTCTGATCAGGCAGGTAAGGGGGCAAGGTAGGGGCGATCAAGCCAGCAGGCAGAGGGATTAGGATCGATCTGGCAGGCAGGCAGAAGGTTTAGGGCAGTGGTCGGCAAACGCATTAGTCAAGAAATTTCTTTTGAGAGCCCAATTTTTTAAACTTAAACTTTTTCTAACGCCACTTCTTCAAAATAGACTCGCCCAGGCCATGGTATTTTGTGGAAGAGCCACTCTCAAGGGTTCAAAGAGCCACACTGGCTCGTGAGCCGCAGTTTGCCGACCACGGGATTAGGGCAATCAGGCAGGCAGGTAAGTGGTTAGGAGCCAGTGGTCCCGGATTGCACAGGGATCAGGCCTAAACCAGCAGTTGGACAACCCCCAAGGAGTCCCGGATAGGAGCGGGAGCAGGCCGGTCTGAAGAACCTCCCCATGCACAAATTTCATGCACCGGACTTCTAGTCTATATATAAAAGCCTAAATGACCATTGCGACCAGATGACGACAACTGGATGACAGCTATAACATGCACTGACCACCGGGAGCAAATGTTCAACACAGGAGCTGCCCGCTGGTGTTCAGTGCACTCCCACAGCCAACCTCCTGCGGTTCCTCCCCTGGCGGGCCCTGATCAAGACTGGGTGAGACAGCACCAATAGGCCCCAATTGCTAGCCCAGGCTGAGGGACCCCACCTGTGCACGAATTTGTGCACCAGGCCTCTAGTCCATACTAATAAAAGGGTAATATGCTAATTAGACCAGAGAGACTGAACATCTTCCAGACGTCATTCTGGATGTCTTTCTTGACAAAGCTGGGGGCGTAGCTGACCTGCAAACTGCCCTTGGCCCCTCACCCAGGCTGACCCCGCACCCCAACGGGGATCCTCATCCCAATTGGGGGCATGGCTAGCCTGCAAATCTCCTGCAGCCCCGCACTGAGGCCAGCCCCGCCCCCAATGATGATCCCCACCCTGATTAGGGGTGGGGCTGGCCTGCAATCCCCATGGCCCATCACCCTGGCCAGCCCTGCCCCCAAACAGGGAACTCCCTCTCCCCCCACACCCTGATCCAGGGTTCCCTTCAGGGCAGGCCAGCCAGCCCCCACCCATGCACCAGGACTCTATGTTATATAATAAAAGGGTAATATGCTAATATGCAAATTGACACTAACAGCAGAACTACCAGAATGACTGCTGGACCAGTCACTATGAGGCACACTGACCACCTTCCCCGGCTGGCAAGCTCCAATCACATGATGGCAAACGGGGAACTGAGGGAAGGGGGGTAGCAGGGAGGGATGGGGCTGGCTGAGGGCAGCTGGGGAAGATGGCCCTGATCGCAGGTCAGGCCTACAGACCTTACCTGAGCACGGATTTCGTGCACTGGGCCTCTAGTATGGCATACAAATTATAGGTCAATGACAAGGTGCTAGAGTTATGGGGAAAGACAAATATTTCCTATAAATTGTAACAGACCTGGAAACCCCAGTCCTTACTTCATAACATACAAAAATTAACTCACATCACAGATCTGAATATAAAAACTAAAATAATAAAACTACTGAAAAAAAACTTGATGACTTTGAGTTAAAGATTTCATTTTCTTAGTGTCTTTTGAAGAGCAACAGAATACGTTTTAAAAAGAAAAATGCATTCTACTTCATCAAAATTAGTAACTCAGCCCAGCCGAGTGGCTCAGTGGTTAAGCATTGACCTATGAATCAGTAGGTCAGGGTTTGATTCCCAGTCAGGGCACATGCCTGGGCCTGTAGGAAGCAGCTGATTAATGATTCTCTTTTATCACTGATGTTTCTATCTCTCTCTCTCTCCCTCTCCCTTAATCTCTGAAATCAATTTTAAAAAATTAGTAACTTATGCTCTTCAGAACACACTATGAAAAAAATAAAAATGCAAGCTATAGAGTAGGAGAAAACATATACAAAACATATATTTCACGCTGAAACCGGTTTGGCTCAGTGAATAGAGCATTGGCCTGCGGACTGAAAGGTCCCGGGTTCGATTCCAGTCAAGGGCATGAACCTTGGTTGCGGGCACATCTCCAGTGGGGGGTGTGCAAGAGGCAACTGATCGATGATTCTCTCTCATCGATGTTTCTAACTCTCTATCCCTCTTTCTAAGATATCAATAAAATATATTAAAAATAAATAAAACATATATTTCACAAGGAATTTGTATCTAAAATTTGTAAAATATTCTTATAATCCAATTTAAAAATACAAACAATGTAATAAAGAAAGGGTGGAAGATTTGATATACATTTCACACACACACACACACACACACACACACACATAGATGGCAAATAAACGTATGAAAGATGTTCGTCATCATTAGTCATTTTGGAAATGCAAATCAATACCACAATGCAATTCCAAGATTGGCTACCCAAAGTGTTGGCTTGAATGCTATGCAACTAAAATGCTCATACACTGCTGCTGACAATGTCAAATGGCACAATCACTTTGGAAAACAGTTCGGCAGTTTTGTAAAAAAAACAACAACAAAAAAACAAAAAACTAAACATACAATCCAGCTATCATATTCCTTGGTTATTTATTCAAGTAGTATGTTATCATGGTTTGAAACGTTACGTTCATACAAAAACCTGCGCACAGATGTGTAGTAGCTTTATTTGTAACTAGAGGTCTGGTGCATGACATTGGTGCAGGGGGACCCCTCTCGCAGTCCGGGACCCCTTGGGGGATGTCCGCCCGCAAGGAGTCGGCCTAAGCCGGCAGGTGGACATCCCCTGAGGGGTCCTTAGTGCTGCCCCGAAGGTGAGAGAGGCTCCCACCACCACCGCTGCACTCTGCCAGAAACCAGGCTCACTGCTCCTTAGTGCTGCCTGCGAGGTGGGAGAGGCTCCTGCCACTGCTGCTGCACTCTGCCCACCATGAGCCAGCTTCTGGCTGAGCAGGGCTCCCTGTGTGGGAGTGCACTGACCACCAGGGGGCAGCTCCGCGTTGAGCGTCTGCCCCGGGGGATCAGTGTGGGTCATAGCAACTAGTTGTTTAGTCATTCAGTTTATTTGCATATTAGGGTTTTATTATATAGGCTAGCCAAAACTTGGAATCAGGCAAGATGTCCTTCAATAGGGAAATGAGTAAAGAAACTGAGGGACATCCAGACAATGAAATATTCAGTGGGGGTAAATATTGAGCTAGCAAGACACAAAAAGACATGGAGAAATCTTAAATGCATATTTCTAAGAGAAAGAATCCAATCTAAAAAAGCTGTATACTGTATGATTCCAAGTATATGACATTTTTTTAAAAGGCAAAACTATGGGGGCAGTAAAAAGGTCACTGGCTGCCAGGGGTTCAGAGCAGGGAGGGAGGAATAGGTGGACCACAGGGGATCTTTAGGGCAATGAAACTGTTCTGTCTGAGACTTCATTAATGGTACATTTGTCAAGACCCATAAGGTGTTCAACACAAAGAATGAACTCTAATGTAAACTGCAGATTTTACTTTAGTTAATAATGTGTCGACATAGGCTCATCAATTGTAATAAATGTATCACATTAATTCAAGATGCTAATAGTAAAAGAAGCTTTGATGTGGTATGGATATATGGGAAATCTGTACTTTACACTCCATTTTTCTGTAAAACTAAGACTGTTTTTGTTTTTTTAAAAAAGTAAAATTACCTGCTTTTCACTGTGGGAAAGCAGCAGCAAAAAAGAAAAACACACAATGAGATCCCAAAAGAATGTTATCTGAAGTGTTGGCAGGGATATTACGCAACTAAAATATTCACACTGCTAGTAAGAATGTCAATGGGCCCAGCCTGGTGGCTCAGTGGTTGAGTGTCACCTATGAACCAGAAGGACACATGCCTGGGTTGCAGGCTCAATCCCCATTTGGGGGCGTTCAGGAAGCAGCTGACCAATGATTCTCTCTCCCTCTCCCTTCCTCTCTGAAATCAATAAAATATATATATATTTTTTAAAAACTTAAATAACAAACTTTAAATGAGCAGTTTATGTCAATTATTTCAATCAAGCTAAATTATTTTTGTATATATTATATGTAGGGCAAACGATTCGTCCAAATTTGCACATGAACAACTAAAACTATATTGTAAATTTCTTAAAAGCTTATTTTACTAATTTCCTTTGAATAAGATTTTCAATAACTGAATAGTTATTGAAACTGAATTTTAAAATTAGAATAGTAAGAAAAATAAAGCAAATATAAATACTTCTATTCAAAAACCAATTACATAGTATCTAACCATACAATAAAAATTATTATTAATAAAACATCCATAAAGCCTTTTATATCTGGTTATATGGCAGAAAACAGAAATAAAGTAGTAGTTATAAAATACTGAAAGAAAAATAATTTAGATTTTCTTACACAAGAACTAAAGATTTCCAAAAGAAATCACAATTTATCACCGACACTCAGTTGAGGAGCTTCTGAAAAATATACTTCAAAAATAAGGAAAGCGATTCCAGGAGAACAAAAACTAGCAGGAAACTGGTAAACATGGCAAACCTAAACAAGTATTAATTGCATCAAACAAGAATAAGATGCTTAATTTGGGGAACGGAAAGGAACAAGATAAATTTTAGTACAGAACACCTCTTCCACAGTGAATGACTGAAGCAATCCATCCACAATCGTCTTCTTCTGGAAACGTGTCCCTCTACTATACCTTCAACCACCTACTTGGTTACCAAGTGTCACCAAATTAGCAAAGTGTGGTCCCAGAACGTTGGCCCTAATTTACTGATGGCCCAGAGGTAGGCAAGTGACCCAAGCAGGAGCACAAATAATCTCTAAAAAATTAACAAAAGTAAAGATTAGGGGTCAATAGGTATTGAGCTGTACCAATGAAGAGCTGCATGCCTTGCTGATACCCACCTTGCACTTCTGCTCTCCGTCTGAAACACTTCCTCCCTTTTTTCTATGTGTCCAAACCACATAGACCCAGCTTATGTCTTCCCTTTCCCCCTCACCTAGTCAGCGTTTCCTCTACAAATGACATAAGTGGGAACTACCCTGTTTCCCCGAAAATAAGACAGTGTCTTATATTCATTTTTGCTCCCAAAGATGCGTTAGGTCTTATTTTCAGGGGATGTCTTATTTTTCCATGAATACAGTACACATTTATTGTTAAATGAAAATAAAGGAAATTTATATACGGTACGGTAGTTGTCAACACAAACCAGACAAACTGTGAATCTTACAGTATCAAGAATTTACTCATTTATTCAATGACAATCATGTCATCATCTTCTGGCACATCATCATAACAATCCAATTCCTGAATTTCCTGGTGAATTTCTTGTGACTCCATTTCTTTCAGAATCAGTGAACCAAATCTCTCATGTTTAGCAATAGTAATGTCTTTAAATGAGTACTTCTTGTCAAGTTAGCCTGCTCGCAGTGCATTTGCAATGCAACTGTCAGTGATTTTCTCCCATGAATTCTTCACCCAAGTCACAACTTCTTGCAGTTTAGGTTTCACAAAGTTTCCATGCTGATTTCTCTCCATTCTATTTTCAATGTAGTCATTAATTTCCATGTGCAAATTGTCTTTGAATGGCTTGTTTATTGCAATATCAAGAGTCTGGAGATAGGCCTTATTTTCGGGGGGATGCCTTATATTTCACTCAGAAGGAAACCTGTAAGAAAGCCTTATTTTCGAAGGATGTCTTATTTTCAGGGAAACACAGTAGTAGTTATTCTTGCCCCAAAATACTTAATTTGAAAATAATCAACCCATTAAACCTAGCTTACAGTTAGCTAATAAAGGAGGAAATAGAGGAACACCCTTAAGTGATACCATGAAGGGAGGGGAGGGGAGGGGGAAACAGACAAATCAAGAGGTGATTCATTCTAGATTATAAGAGATCAGAGATTTAACAAATCCTGGTTTGGTGGGGTTGGGTGTAAAAAGCTATATAGACCTTTCAACACAAATGGGGAGACTTAAATATGGATGAATATTAGATTATATTAAGGAATTAGCGATAAGATACTATTAACTATCAATAATATAACTAAGAAAATTAACATAATGGTATTTTGAATATTAAGAAATGGAGATGCATGTTGACATACTTAGGCATAAACAGCTTAGTTTTAAGTGATTCAGCCAAAAATAATATTTATAGATGCAGCAAATATGGCAAGATGTCAACAAATACTGAATCTAGAGGGTCATCAAATATGGATGTTCATTATAATCAATTTTCTGTATGCCTAAATTGTTTCCTAATAAAGGCTAAAGATGCCCATTTTACAAAGGGAAGAAAGGACAAAAGCCTGAAAACTGAAGAACCAAACATTACTTAAATCCCTTTAGTAGCAATAAGGCTAACAAGGAACGAGAGCTCGACCTAAAACATTGCTTAAGACACTGAGTCTACAATGTAATCCAGTTATTTGAGATAAACCTTTAACTGATAGTTCTCTCAAAAGACACATGGAGGGCATGACCAGAAAACCATTCTTTAATGGCATCATATTCAACATAATTCAACAAGGCTCAACATGTTTATATCTTAACCAAACAACAAGTTAATCTGTGAGTCATCCACTTGTTAACTTTATAATTTGCTATTCCATTCAACTACAAATTTTCTCAATCCTGGAAATATACCAGAGAAAATTATACAGTACCATAATTGTGCATTAATAGATTAAATGTTTGCAACTATGCATAAAGCTTCAAAAAGGAAAGGCTCTTTACTTTTTCACTAACCATAATCAAAGAAGTAATATAGGCCAATGCTAAAATGAGAATCGGTTGTTTATAAACATTGATTGATAGCCACATACAATGAAAAAAAAATCACGCCATTAAAAGAATATTTCTTCAATATTCTATACTATAAATTTCTGACACCGAACTCAGAAATTTATAGTATAGAATACTATAGTCTTATTGCTTAAGACTACACAAATGACAAGTGTGTTGCCATTGCCACATAACCCAGCAACAAGTTTTGCAATAAGGAAATATCAAGCAAATAACCCATCCGCAAGTTCCCTGTATGCATCAAGAATAAACTGCACAAGTACAATTGTAACTTTTCTTTTTGTTAATCCTCACATGGGATATTTTTCCCCATTGCTATTCAGAGAGAGTGAAGCGCGGGCGAGGGGGGGAGATATCGACGTGAGACACAGACTGGAGAACGAACCACAACCTAAGTACAGGCCCAGGACTGAAATGGAACCCGCGACCCTCACATCCGCGACCCTCACGGTGCAGGGGGTGGCGCTCCAATGAACTTGAACCACATCGGCCAGGGCATTGTTGTTGTTTTTCCAAGCCAAGAAAATGATTTGTCTAGGCTGCAGCAAAACACACCAAGCAGTCTATGATGGGGCAAATAAGCTACATCTACCTATAGATAAAGAATTTACTCCCAGGAAGAAACTCTCCCCTATTTTCATTTTCCTTAAGTATTTATTTTTGCAAGACGCAGAAATACACTTCTGCAGAAAAGTCATCGTAATCTGGCTTCCCAGATTACCAGCTCGGCCCAGTTCCGGGCTCAGCCTCACGCTGCCGATCTGTACATGGAAGCAGGTCCCCGCTCCTGGGTGACGGGCAGACAATGCCCGGCAGCCCCGGCGCTCAGGAGCCGCGGCCCGGCTGCCCCGCAGCGGAGGCGGACTCGCCCGGCCCTGCCCCGCAGGTGACCGCGAAGGGCGCCAGGCTCCTCCAGGGCCCCGCACAGCCCGCAGCCCGCAGCCCGCAGCCCGCAGCCCGCTCCCCGCTCCCCGCGGGCGCGCGCGCGCGCGCACACACACACACACACTCACGTACACACACAATCACGTACACACACACACGTATACACACACACATACTCACACACAGGCACGTACCGGCCGCTCCGCGGTCGTGGGGAGCCGCAGGCCCAGAGGGGCCTCCGCCGGCCTGGGAGCCCGCCCCTCCGGCCCGCGGCCTGTCGCCGCGCCCCCGTCAGGGAGCCGCGGGTCCAGGGCAGGAGGGGCGCGCGAGGAGTCGGTGCGGGCCGGGGCCGGGCGTCTCTCCTTCACATGAGTCCGGGCTGAGCCGGCGCCCGCGGGGAGACGGGGCCGCGGGAGGCCGGGCAGGAAAGGAGGAAGCCGCTCCGGGCGCCGCCCGCTGCGGAGGAGGCGGGGTGTCTGCTCCTCGGCTGAGGACGCCGGGCCTCCGGACCCGTCCGCGCGAGCCGGGCGACCCCGAACGCCGCTCAGCGGCCACACCGCCCAGCCAGGCGCCGCGGGAGGGCCGCCGGCCGCCACTACACACGGGCCGTGACGTCGGCGTAGAGCGGCCCACGTCACGACCGGCCGGCCCGTGCGCGCGCAGCCCGGCTCCGCCCCGCCGCGGGGAGCGCCCGCGCCTGCGCAGCCCGCCGCTCCCAGCAGCCTTTCCGGCCGGAGCGCGCGTGCGCGTCATCGCGCCGGCGTCCGCTCCGGCGTCCGCTCGGCCCACCGCGGTGCCGACGCCCGCACCCGCAGTCCCTCACGGCATCCGCGGGGGCCGCAGGCGGGAGTCGCGGGCTCGGAGGGCCTGCCACACTCGCCGAGCCCGGCCAGCCACGTGCCGGCGGGAGTGGCGGACCGGGAGGCCGGGACAGAGGGGACCCACCCGCGCCCGTGGCGGAGTTAACCGAGCCCTTCCCGTGTGCTGCTCGCCCGGCGTCCGCGGGGGGCCTCTGTGGACTCGCTGCGCGGTGTGTTCACCCCTGGCTCTGCTCCCCAAGCACCGTCCCTCCGCAGCCCCGCTCCTCGCCGGCGTCCTCCAGCGCCTTCCCGCCCAGCGCGGCTGTGGTCACAGCACGGTGACCCACCCTCCTGCCCGCCGGGCAGCCCCGTCCGCTCCGCAGGCCGGATGGGGTGGAAGCGGCCTCCGCGAGGCCAGCACTGGGGGAGAGGGCGACCTCAAAGCATCTGGGTCTCCTTCCTGGGACTCATCGCAGACCCAGTAGCAGCGGGGTCAGAGGTGCTTGTCACTGAAAGCCTGAGCACAACCAAGGGACTCAGACCCAGCTTCGCAGAGAAACGGATGGGCAGGTGCCAATACCGGAGGGCCTCGAATACAGAGCTGAATAGGAAACCCCACTGGTTTAAAAAGTGGAGGAATTTTAAGGGTCTGTGCATACAAAATCAAGGTCTTTAAAATTCCTTTGGGACCTAACATTCTAAGCCTGAAATGACTGGGGTTTCCGTTAAATTTCTACCTTGTTTTTCACGGCCCTGCCTGACGCACGGAGCGGGCATTTGATAATTAGTACTTGTGTGTTAAGTAATCTAGACGTGGGTTTTTCCTCATGCCTCTGCTCTCTAGCTTCTCTAACCCACCACACCAGGGGCCTCATTCACTACTGGTTTCTTAGAAACACCCCTCATGTATGTTTGAAAATAGTCTCTCTTTTTTTTCACTCTCTTTTTACACTGGTGATTTTTCTTCTTCATTAGACATTAAATCCATTCGCTATTTTAGTATATATGACTACAAATTAATGATCTTGGGGTGTTTTCTTGTTGAAACTTTCAGTCAATATTTTTTTACTTTCCTGCTCTGTGCCTGGTATTGCAGTGATAACATGGTAGTGCCTGCTCCCTCCCAGGAACTCAGAACTTGTGAGGACAGTAGACTGGAAATGGATCGATGCAATGCCCCGTGTATGAGGTACCACAGAAACGGAAAGGATGATGTCACAGGTGTGCCTGGGAAGAGGGAAGGCTTCAGTGAGGCCACTGTATTTGTTTTTCTATTGCTGATAACAAACTGCCATGGGCTTGGTGCTTAAAACAACACCTATTTGTTAGCTCATAGTTCTGTAGCTCAGCATCATGGCGGAATTCTTCTGGTATCACAAGGCTGAAGTCAAGATGTCAGCTGGGCTGAGTTCTCACGGGGGGCCCGAGGAAAGATCTGCTTCCAGCCTCGTTTTGTGTTTGGCAGGATGCAGTTTCTTGTGGTTGTAGGGTTGAGATCCCCATTTTCTTGTAGGCAGTCAGCTGTCGACTTCGAGACTCACCATCTTCAAAGCAACAGATAATGTCTTATACTTCAAACCCCCCTCACACTCTCTTGACTTCCTCTTTTACTACCAGTTGGAGAATACTTTGCTTTTACTTTTATTATTTTTTGTTGTTAATTCTCACCTGAGGATATTTTTTCCATTGATTGTTAGAGAGAGTGAAAGGCAGGGAGGGAGAGAGAAATGCTGATGTCAGAGAGACACATTGATTGGTTTTACTCCTGCATGGGCCTTGACTGGGGTTGGGGATCAAACCTGTAACCCAGGTCTGTGCCCTTAACCAGAAATTGAACCCAAGGCCCCTGGTTTCGCAGGCCTGAACTCTAACCACTGAGAACACCAGCCAGGGCTACCCTCTGCTTTTAAAGAGTTCATATGATTATGAGTTTTAAAGAGTTTTAAAGTTTTAAAGAGTTCATATGGCCTTAAAGTAGGGGTGTCGAACTCAATCAGAGAAGGGGCCAAAATCTACAATCCAGCCTAAATCGCGGGCCGAATGGTTTACTGAACAGTCATAAACTGTCATTGTGATGGAAACGCAGTGGAGTGCAGTGATGACAGCGCGGTGCGGGCCACATTGCAAGGCCTGGCGGGATGGATTTGGCCCGCGGGCCTTGTGTTTGACACATGTGCCTTAAAGTCAACTGTGTTGTGTTACATAATGTAATTATTGAGTACCACCCTAGATAATAAAAGCCCAGCTACTAAATGTCAGAACAACCATTTTACCAGTCGCCATGACATGCACTGACCACCAGGGGGCAGGCGCTCAACTCAGGACCTGCTAGCCCTGCTCTCCCACAGTAAGCCGATCCCTGCAGGCCAAACCCCCCACCAATGCATGAATCCGTGCATAGGGCTTCTACTTTACATTACCTACAGTTATGCAGCTATGTTCAACAGTGGGCAGGGATCACAGGGAAATGAGAATCCTGCATACCACACATGGTAAGCTGAAACTTGGATCAGAGCTAGTTATTTGCTGGGAGAAATAAGGAAGGAGGAGTAGACATCCAGGAAGAGGGAATCAAGTGTGCACAAACTTGAAGTGTGAGAGAACATGCCCTGTCCTGGAAGTGATAAGAGTTGCTGGCCTCCAGGTATCGGGAGAAATGCAGGCAGTGGGTAAAGCCAGAGAAGGAAGGCAGCAGCAGATGAGGAAAAAGGGTGTGCTGGAGTATGCTAAAGAGCATGGTTAAGGAATGAAGGTCTACGCAACCATGCTGGCCAGGAAAGTGATATAAATAGAGTGTTGGTTGGGATGCATTCAGCTGCAAGGAATAAGACATCTGGCCCCAAACAGCTTAAACTGAACTTTATTTTCACAAATAACAAAAATCCAACACATGAATTTAAAATGGGTAAGGGTTGTGAATTGTCATCTCTGCAATCAGAAGATCACTACCTCAGCTCTGAACACGATGATGTCCCACGAAGGAAAGGGGAAGGATTTATTAATTTTCATTCTCCCTTTTAATTTTAGATCAATTTTAGGTTTATTTAAAAATTGAGAAGTTAGTACAGAAAATTTGTATATACCTCATACCTAGTTTATCCTATTTATACTTTACATTATCATGGTACATTTGTCATAATTCATAATCATTAAAGTCCATACCTTATTCAACTTTTCTTAATTTTAACCTACTGTTCTTTTTCTGTTTTAGAATCCCATCCATGATATCACATTATATTTAGTCATCATGTCTCCTTAGGCTTCTCTTGCTGTGAATTCCCTTGTGTTTTATTATTGTTGTTTTGTTTTATTTATTGGTTTCCAAAGAGAAAAACAGATTTGTTGTTCCACTTATTTATGAATTCATTGGTTGCTTCTTGTATGTGTCTTGACCTGAGATTGAACCCACAACCTTGGCATATTAGGACAATACTCTAAACAACTGAGCAACCCATCCAGAGCAGACTTCCCTTGTTCGACCTTGACAGTTATTTTCAGAATATTTTTTTATTTTTGTTATTAAATTATGTGTACATATCTTACCATTACAGAATATTTTTATTTTTAAATTGGAGTTGACATATTAGGTCTAGTAATAATTAATGTCGTTTTCTAATACCTTTTTTTAAAATCGAATTTATTTAAACAATACAACAAAATTTAATCAACAATATAGTTGCCGTTGTTTTCTACTACTTGTGCCCAACGCTCAGGAAGCGTTTTAATCCCTCTGTTGTAAAATTCTTGTGATTTTGATGCAAAAAATTCGGTCAATGCATTTTTGAGGCATTCTTCATTATTAAATTTTTTTCCAAGAAGAAAGTTTTGCAAAGAACGAAACAAATGGTAATCGGAAGGGGCAATATCAGGAGAATATGCAGGTTGAGGGAGAACTTCCCATTCCAACTGGCGCAGTTTTTCAGCAGTGATTCTTGCAGTATGCGGTCGTGCGTTATCGTGGTGAAGAATTACGCCCTTCTGATTAATCAGCGCGGATTCTTTTTCTCTTAAAGCTTGGGCTAACCTTTCCAATTGGGCACTGTACACTGCACTTGTAATGGTTTGGTTAGATGGTAAAAGTTCATAATGAAGAATTCCTTTAAAATTCCACCAAACACACAACATCACTTTTTTCGCATGCAAGTCAGGTTTTGGCGTGGGCTGCGGAGCCTCATTTTTGTCCAACCATTGAGGCCGCCTTTTCAAATTAACATACAGCACCCATTGTTCATCTCAGGTAACAATTTGCTCTAAAAACGGCAAACAGTTTTGACGAGAGAGGAGCGAACTGCAAATTGTGACTCTGATTACGGTTGTTGTCGGTCAACTCATGAGGAACCCATTTTCCAAACTTTTGGACTTTGCCAAGTGCACGCAATTGATTGGAAATTGTTTTTTGTGAACAATTTAAAGTCGCAAGCTCTTGTTGGGTAATTTGAGGATTTTGCACCAAAAGAACTTGAAGAGCTTCTTGATCAAAATTAGACACACCGCCTCGATCACTCTTGTCATCTAACGAAAAATTTCCCTCGCGAAATTTCTCAAACCAACGCTGGCATTTTCTGGCACTAACTGCATCTTGCCCAAGAGCACTACAGATGTTTTTTGCAGCCTCACTTGCTTTTCTTCCTAATTGGAACTCGTAAAGCATGCAGTGCCGAATATGCTCTTCATCCGCCATCTTCTTAGCCCTAGTTTTGCAACAAAAACCAAACCAAACACAAACTTTTTCAAGCAAAACTTGTTAATTGCACTTCACACGTTCTGTAGATACCACGTGTTTGAAGGTTATGTCAATACAAGTCAACACCAAGCAAGATTTTAAACGAATG